TCAAATTTGGTCTGGTGGTTGTAGAGATATCTTCATTCAAAGTTTTAAAAAAACTTGGGTGCAGCTTCTATTTTGATAGGCGTTTTGGGTTTTCTCTAACTTTGAGCGAAGGTATCCTGATAACTATCGGACCAAATTTACTAATAAAGTGAATTGAGTACTAACCAAGGTACAAAAATTACAATATTGAGCAATTATTGGAATAATTCTTATTCAATAATGAATATTCATAAATAGCTTTATTTTAAATACAAGCCGGTATCTAGTTTTTACAAAGTTTGTCGCGGCTTCTATTTTAGGCAAAGAATTAGTAACAGTCTTCCATATAGAGTTGTTGTCTATTACTTAGCCATTACAGTAAGATTATCAAATACTGAATTCAAATATAGGTCTTATTCAAGACATAGCCATTTTTGCTATATCGATATTGTCAAAGATCGAATTTGGTAATGCGAAAAGTAAAAGTCCATGGCACTGCAGGTTGAATAATCATCCAAAAATGGATTATATTTAACAATTCTCCAAGCCTGCCTAAATAAGTAAGTATATACATACATTCGTTTATCTTAATTTGGACTATTCTCTTAAAGCCAAGCGGATCAATGCGCGAGAGTATAATTGCACGATTAAAGGCCTTTGTTATCGGAAGATATGGCATGATATTTACAAGATAGCAAATGAAATGTAAAAAAAAGGGAATTATGAGCCGCGGCGAAAATATTAGGTTTAAATAGTTGAAAAAGTATTTAAGTGGTCCTTTTTAACCTTCTTTCACCTAATCAAAAACATCGCATAAATATTACAGAAAAAAAAATTTAAAAAGAAAAATGTCTACATCAAACAATACAACTAACGTTATAACTCAAGATTGTTCTGGATGTGGAAAAAGTAAACCAGCTTCGGAATTCACAAGACAACGAGGAAATAAAAAAATAATAGGATCTACTTGCAACAAATGTTCAGACCGACTAAAACAAACCCGATTAAATAAAAAACTCGAAGTTGAAGTGCAAGATGGCTCCTTGGATGACATACATATTGATGCTAATAATCACAAAAGTAGTGATGAACTTCTTTATGAAATTTGTGATATTGAAGAGCTTATAGCTATTCATTTTAGAAATGCTAAAGAAAAGGATAGCAAGGTCGAATTCTCTGCAACAGTAAAAATAGAAAATGAATTGGTTAATGAAGAAGCTTTCTCATCCGAATTAAGTTTTGAAGAATTATTATCACCAGAATTAGATTACGAAGAGATGTTATTACCAGAGTTAGATCATGAAGAAATATTACCATCTGAATTAGATCAGGATGAAATGTTTTCACTAGAATTAGATAAAAATGATGAAAAAAAAATTCGTAGTATAATAAAAGCATTACTTTTTCCTCTTCAAGAAGGATCAAAATATTATTGGGAGCTTAGAAATTTGTATATGAGTAAGAAAAATGGTCAGTATACAGGATGTGCAACAGCTCATTTAGGTTGCACTCAAAGAATCAACCGCAAACATAAAAATAATGAAGACAAAACTACAAAGCGGATAAGTGAGGCACGACCCGCTATAATGTGCTTCCAATGTGATGGCAGTAGCATAATTAGAATAGATCTATGTGAAAAAATAGCTACAATATTCGTGCGGCATTTAATTGCCCACCAACATCCTACATATAGAGAAATAAAATTACCAGCAGATGCCGTTGAATGGATACAACGGCATAGTAATCAAAGTTCACGAAAAATAGAATTATACAAACAGCTTTGTAATGAAAATTTAGTTAACCCAACCCTGCATACTTATCAGCAGATATATTACTGGGCGCATAAATTTTCAAGAAAGCAATATGTAACTGATGTAGCTAATCAAATAAAATCTGCTGTAAATTTTCTGGAACAAAAAGAATTAGTAGATACGGGATATAAAGTCATTCAATACCGAGAAAATGATTTCGTTCGTTCACTTGGATTTGCTACTCCATTCCTCTACAAAATAAAAGATTCTGTTAGTGAGGTTATTATTGATTCAACCTTCAAAACAAATCAAGAAAAGTTTGAATTATTCGTGGTAAATGCTAATTATGGTGGATACGGAATTCCTCTTGCATATTTATATGTAGACACATATGCTGCACCAGAAGAATTGCTATCAGATCCTAATAATATTGTGCATACGAGAGTTGATGTACTTAAAGAATTTTTCATCAACTTGCGAAATGAAGGGATTCATCCAGCATTCGTTCTTTTGGATAAAGATGCTGGAGAAATTATAGCTGTTCAGGATGCATGGTCTCAAATAGCAATAATTCAGCTTTGCCTTTGGCATATAGAACAGGCTATTGAACGCAAACTAAAAGAAAAAAAGGCTCGAAAAAGTCTTTATACTGCACAAAAAGCACAGGATGCGAATCATGAATTCTCGTTCATTGATCCAAATTGGCTTCCTAGAGAAATACAAGGCAAAATATGTCCCAAAGAATTAATAAAAGAAGTATTAGAAATTATTAAAAAACATACTTTGTTACATCCACTTATTCCAATAAACAAAAATACCTTTCTTACGTCGGATAACATTAGGTATCAAAGCGTTTTAGAAATTTATCAATTTTGTTATAACAAAAATCTTGTTAATTTATGGGGATATTTGTGGATAAACTGGTATAATACAAAAGATTGGAATCTATTTGCACGGGCTGCTTATCCCAAAGCAATGCCTATTGCTAGAACCACTATGATTACCGAATCGCATTGGCGTGTCCTTAAATACAACTACAAATATAATTTAAATCGACCACGGTTAGACCATCTAACATACATTATTACGAAGGAACTAGTCCCAGATATGGAAAATACCTGGAGAAAGTTCAGATTTAATCGTGAATTTCCGTCTTGGTGGGATGTATTCAAGCATGATTGGAATTCTGCACTACAAAAAGATATAAGTATGATAAACCATTATCATACAGATATAAACACTTGGATATGTTCATGCACTGCATTCTTATATAGTCCTTATATGCTGTGCAAACATCTAATAAAAGAATATACTGCAGCCAACCAATTTTTCTTTCCACGATTTCTTGCTACATTGCGTCATCATGATTACCCATTTATTACTTTTGGTGAAATGGGTATTCCGAGAATTAATGCAAATAATAATCCATGGAACAATGTTCTGCATAATAAAGTTTTAGAAACCATGCCAGTCTCGGAGTCGTCAAGTATTCAAAACACAAGTGCTCTCGTTACCAATCGCTATGAAATTATTGAAAATAGAAAAGATGAGTTAAGTTCTGATCTTAAAATGTTCGAGACATTAGTGAAGATTATCAACAATAATATCGAAAATGACAAACTTTATGAGGCATATAAGGTTCTTAGGCAGCCTCTCGTTAATGAGACGATTGCATGTAATGAAGCTCTTAATGCGAAAAAACAGCAGAAAACTTGGAAATCACGAAAAACCTACAACTTGGCTTTTTGGCTTCAATAAAATTAAACCTTGTTCATTTTACTTCTATTTTCTCTTGATTTTCTTGGGTTGTTTGCAGAGCATCCGTTTTCTTTAAAGTTTTCCTTTATAATTATATATTTTATAAAACAAATTATCTGTACTTAAATAAATAAATTATTTAAATAAAAAAATTATTTTTTAAAAAAAAAATTATGTTTAAAGGAGCTGGTCATACCGATACCCCACATTTGGTATTCGTATCTCCCTTAAAATTAAATTTTTTGAACCCTTAAACGAAAATATCTCAATATCCACATGACCAAATTCACTAACTTTTTTTTTTATTTGAATTCCATAGATGCATAGAATTCAAATAAGAGTAGTGTCATTGAATTTGGCCCGATGGTTATCGGGATACCTTCGCTCAAAGTTGGAGACGCCTATCAAAATTGGTGCTGCGCCCAAGTTTTTTAAAACTTTGAACGAAGATATCTCTACAACCACCAGATCAAATTCGC